CCGGCCGCATGGTGTAGATGCTGTCTGAGCCGCCCGCATGGTGTAGATGCTGTATTTTTGGGCTGAGGTCAGCTTAGACCCCGGATCAAAGCCTGTCTGATGGTCTGCGATGGCCCCCACCATCTCATTCTCACGGAGGAGAAAAGCACATATTTGTTTCTACCCTTTCAACAGTCAGGAACAATCCAGAAACGTTTGTCTGAATGTGAAATTCCTTCTCGGCTGAGATAGAAAGCTCAGCCCGCTGTGCACGCCTGTCGGCTTTACAACGCAAAGCGGTTAAAGCGATTTTGACTCTGCCTCTTACAGTATGAAATCGATGCTCCATACAGAAAGACGGGCACTGAGAGCAGGGAGTTGGGGTCTGTTGCGGATGACAGCGATCATCATTTCTCCCCAGCAGGCTCAGACAATGATGGGCGTCTCCGTCTGGGTAAATAAACAGCAGTCAGTCATACAGGTTGACGTGCTTCCGGAAACATCAATCTGATACAGTCCTGCCTGGCGTGGATTAAACAATAAGTAATGATTGAATCACTCACTGAAACAGGATAACTAGAAACAGTAACTTTACAGTTTTTATAGGATTTTTAAGGTTACATCAGATGGTCAGATCAGGAGGAGCAAAGTACATTTAACCTGTTCTTTAGCCCTAAAGGATATACAACTGTAATTAGGTTAATCAGGGTGTTTTTTCCACTGAGCTGGCCTCTGAGCAGAGCGTGTTTACGCAGGCCACCCTCTCGCTGCAGCACACCTTGTGGAATCCATACGGCTGCACATATGCTCGCTTTACCGCTGCACAGTAACCAGCCACTCTGGACGGCATCACGCTGAAGCGCGGCCGGTCTGCCGGGCATCTGGCAGCGGCACGCTCCCCTGGCCTCAGCCTCCACCACCTTGGCTCCAGGTCCCCAATCCTCGCTGTCCTTGCTACGCAGGTTAAGGTGACGATCACTGTTTGCCTGCGATCGCATCCTCGGCCCTGCGTCCAGCTCGTGATGATGTCAGGGCCTCCCCCTGGTCCATGGCGGGGCAGAGGTGACAGACTGGGGATCACAAGCAACACGATCCTCACCGAATGCCACCAAGGGCTTGGGACACTGGCACTAGTGACTAATGACATCATTACTGAGTGTAATAGAAAGTGCCGGAAGGGCCCTCCTGTCCCCTCGCGGGCCTCATTAACATGCCGAGCATTCCTCTGTCCTTGTTCCCTGACCTTCGTTGTGGCACCCCTTTTTAAGTATGTCTTTGTTCTTGGAGGAATACATTTGGGTTGCCATAGTTACAGCAAGCGGAAAGCAGTCAGTCGGCGGTGATGTGAAGTGACCCAAGCGTGGCGGGTTGGCGTGGCCGGCTCCCGCATCTGACATCAGCGCCCGGCTGCCCACTCAGAGTGGCGGCTCCCTGTCTCCGCAGGCGAGTCACTCCGCCACTGCCCACGTCCCTCAGGTCCATCGGGATGACGACTTAAAGGGGAAGCACTTCAGCCGCTCCGCCTGCAGCCGTCTGCACAAAGCAGTGCTTAATGCCCATGGCGTGGCTGCATGTTCCTTCACAACCATCTACACACAGCATGCAGCTACTGTCCGAACGTTTTCACAGAATCACGACTTCATGGGACAAGGGGGACAGAGGGATGATACTGTCTGTTAAACCACACACAGCAGGAGCCGGCATGGAGACTCCCATCATAGGGGGCAGGATGCTGGAGCCTGGGGTGTCACGAAAGCACGGCGAGATCGTCATGAACGTCTTCCTGCTTCATTCTGACATTGAGGTCAGCTGACCGTCAAGGAGCCAATCATGTCAAAGAGCCCCAGTGAATCCCAGTGATCCACTTTCTTTTCCTGAGAGAAATGCCCCCCCCCCCCCATTTACTAAACTTAAGCGTATCACATGATGCACCTTGGCCCCAGAGTGAGCCATGCTGGGTGTGGGTGACACTGCTTATGCGAGTCTTACCCCTGTTTATCTGCTGTTTATCACCCCCTGCAGGCCTGTTTCTGTATTTGCAGGGCACCACTGGAAGTTGCTGCTTTGACTAAATGACACCCACAGCCCATATTTCTTTTTTATGCTGTGGGGGCGGGGGGGGGGACTGCCATATTTTACAGCTGACAGTTCTGAGCAAATGGACTATGGGGTTTCTGCGATGGGCTTTTTCACATAATTAGGGACAACATCTGGCCCCCGTTCAGTCATTAGCCCAAGGCTGCAGCGACTGCCAGGGACCCCCCCCACCCCACCCCTCTCCTCCCCACAGAGCTGCTCTGGAGGTCTGCAGTGGTGCCAAAGTCGGTCATGGGCAAACTGAGCACCTCGCTAGTCGTGTGTGAATGTGTGGCCCTGATCCGGAAGCACAGGTCCTGCGATGTTATGACGTGCAAAGCTTCACACCATTTAAGATGACAGGCTGTGCACATCACTGCTTTGATCACCCACATCACAGATGGTTACCCTGATGGGAAGTATAAGTTTATAACTAGTCACATCTCTATAACTATTGGAGTGTAACTAGTCACATTTCTATAACTATTGGAGTGTAACTAATCACGATTAAGCACATGTTCTGAGTGAAATGTATGCCCTATACCCAAAACTGCACCTCCCTCTCTCCATTCAGCAGCTGAGGTGCGGCAGAGTCATTGTCCCTTTAAGAGACCCTTTCACCAGTGTGCTTCAGTGGTCCTGGCTGTCTTACCGTGTTTGTGTGATGGGGTCACCGGGTCGGCACTGTCATCCACTCGCAGAAGACGCAAGCTCCCTCTGAGGCAGCTTTGTTTCTAAGCGCTCCAAGCCTGTGCTCTGCAAGGCTGAACCCAGATCCTGCAGGATCCAGGGCTTGTCTTTGGGAGCATGGTCTTCATAAACCTCTCTGACTCCATTTTCTGTTTAAAAATTTCTACAATTCTAAAATTTCTACGTATGTTTTAAGGGTCATTTCTGAGGAAGTTCTCCGGGTTTGTGGGTGATTCCGCAGCCCCCAGAGCGGCTTCTCTGCACAGCAGCAGGAAATTTCATACAGATTCCAGAGAGAAGCTATCGAGTGTCTAGACGACTGCTCACCTTCTCGCAGCATCAAGGATTCATGGGAAACTGAAGACTAGAGAGTCTGTCTTTTAAAGTAAACATCACAAATGATTAAATATTTAAACAGAACTCAACACTTTGCTTGGCAGCAGACAGCTGGGCAGGCATGCGGCAGGTGCTGACAGTGACCAGAATAACAGCAAAGATATTGACAGCACTGTGTCCTGCGTTTACGGCACCGGTGCTGTGACACACTGTCTGCTATGGCAGCCAAACTGAATCAGTTCCTGGTTTATTCAGAACCCAGCGAGTGACCTAAAGGGGACATTTTAACAACGTGTTGCTGGCATGACTCTCCCAAAGCTGACCACTCCTCTGTTTGTCAGTCACTTTTAAGGAAACAGACCCTCGGGGTGGATGGCCGTTGCAACAGGTACAAAGCTGCTACTTCTAAATGGGCTGAAAGCCTCCCTGTTGTATCCTGGGCAGATGCTGCACATGTACAGCAGGCAGAGTATGACGGACCCTGAAGGCCATTTTGAAGGTGCCACATTTTGTCAGTCTTCCTTTCATCTGGCTGGCGGTCCCACATGAGCACAGGTGGGTGAAGGTTAGGGGTCAGGGGTTAGGGATAAGGGTGGGGGTTATCCTGAGCTAGAAAATGTCAAAGTAAGCCAAGTGAGGCTGGCAATTCACCCCTCATTATTAATATCGGGCGACTATAATCTCACCAATTAAAATGAAAATTACCACGATCTGCAGTGATCTGGGTGTGTCTGAGGCTGCCGGCTGGCCGGATGTAGCTGGGACGTGCTGTTACATGCTCTCTGCCGGACGCATGCGGTGCCCACGGTCCTGTCATCTGGGACCCCAAGCTGCCCGCTGATCTGTCATCTGGGGCCCCAAGCTGCCTGCGGTTCTGTCATCCGGGGCCCCAAGCTGCCTGCGGTTCTGTCATCCGGGGCTCCAACCTGCCCACGGTTCTGTCATCCAGGGCCCCAAGCTGCCCGCTGTTCTGTCATCTGGGGCCCCAAGCTGCCTGCGGTTCTGTCATCCGGGGCTCCAACCTGGCCACGGTTCTGTCATCCGGGGCCCCAAGCTGCCCACGGTTCTGTCATCAGGGGCCCCAAGCTGCCCGCTGTTCTGTCATCCGGGGCCCCAAGTTGCCCGAGGTTCTGTCATCCAGGGCTGAAAGTCATGTGGTGTCGTTTTCTG